CATCAAATGTTGATGAAATCTCCCCTCCGGTAACCAAGGCAAGGCGCTCAATTCCTGCAAGCCATTGCACAATATCATTCCTTACGGGTACGTAGGACTGTAGCTCAGTACAATACAGACGTTGGCCATGGTCTTGTGTTGAGAGCACGCACGGTTTCTTGGCATGGGGTTATTTCACAAGCACGATGGCCCTGCTGGGCATACATGGGACACAACAAAAGACAATGGAGCTGCCGGCATACTGCTCTACAATACTGATACTCCTTGTCATACGTTTGTTAATGGCAGCACACTGGCCACTGGCTCATTGTACAGTACTTTCTGTCAATCAGCTTCTGAAAACAACAGAGGTCGATTGAAAGACCCCCACCACAATTCCCTAGAATAGAATTACAGTGGCAGGCAAATTGCACACACTCAGCTGTCATAGAAAACTGGGTTCATCAACGTCTCTAAGTGCACCCACCATCAAAATCGGCGTGTTCGATGGCCATCACACCATTGTCTGCAAAGATTTCCTCTGGAAAGTTGTAGATGAGCTGGCGATTGATGAAGCAGTTGATACCATGGTCAATGATCTTTTGACACTTCTCGCGCATCTTCTCACGCTCAGCCTTTTCAATGTCGCCCACTTTGGACAATGAGTTGACTCGCACACGAGCTCCATAGATCTTGACCTTGTCGGTGTCCATCGCTGTGTTGGCAACCAGAATTTTCGCATTCTCCAGTCTTTGTGGCTGACCAACACCGATCTTTTTGTCCAGAATGAAACCATCATCAATAAACGATTCCTGCACGGAAACAACAACTATTGAAACCATGTTGCAAAGTCAACTTCCTGTGCTTGACGGCCTGTGAAGTCGTGGAGCACCATGCGTTCATGCACCACAGCTTTGCAACAATGCAGTGATATAAAAGATGCTCTGGAGGGCCTGCCCCCTCCCAATTGTGAGGTCTCCAAGCACAATAATACACTGCTATGGAACGCTGTGATTGCCAAGCCTACCCTCACCTGGAGAGTGCCACCTGTTTTCTTCAGCATGTGTATTGACTCCAGGTTTGGGGATCCCTTCAGCCGAACGATCGCATCCACAGCCATTCCAGCAAAGTGGTCTTTGTCCTGGACAGCCAGCAGAAGGTGGTGATCATGCAGCGCACAGAACAAAAGGGGAGTTGTACTGGAGTGACTCACACTAGAAGCATCTGAACAAGAACCTCAACATATAACCAGGCACGCCATAGGTGTGTGGCTGCCACATGGTGTTGCAATTGAATGATGAAGCCAGCACCAACTGTGCTCACCTGCTGGAGAATTTTTGAGCTCAGAGTCGTCCTGGCGATGTTGAGCAGATCTCTCCGAAAGGCAGCTGCAAATCAACAAACGCAGTCACAATAGTGCCAAAAACAATACCTCCAGACGCAAGGCTTGCATACCACAGGATGAGCAGATTCAAGCAGTTGTGCCTAAAGGGTACCTTCGTCATCTTCATGACTGACTGCACAACCCTCCAGGGTTTTCAATGCACAGGCACAAGCATCACGAATACCTGCACAACAGACACACGAAATATGGCTTGGACTGGCAGTCACAAATCTGCACAGGAAACAAAGATGTCTCAAGCAACAACTCAGAGTCCATTTGTCAGACAAGCGCAGTAAAGGATGTCAATTTTCAAGAATCGTTCGTAACAAGTCTTGATATGCAGCGTTAGAAGTCTGTGCAACCCACGTTGCATGACAGCTCTCACCTCACTGGGAGTCTGCTGCCACCTAATGGATTATCTGGGCACAGAGGATAAGCCCACGGTCCCCATACCACCAGTTACACCGTCCCTTACTTGCATGTCTTACATTCAAATTAGACATTGCAATACAAACAATACCTGGGAGCTAGTCTATTGAATAGCATCTGGGGCATGTCCTACCACATGTCCTTCCATTGGCGTGTGTGTGTGTTTGTGTGCATGCGTGCTGCTGGATCGTACCAAGAGGTTGTCTCCAAGAGGTTTGCTTCCAGCTGAGTCTTGTCCTGCAACATTCTCGTGCATTGATCCTGTGTTTTGTGCCAAGGTTTGCTTTTCCAATCAATGTGAACACACATAGATGCCAAAGACAAGACAGAGATTGTTGTGCTGGCACCAAACATCAGGTGTGCTTTCACAGCATAACATACCAGCGATGATGGTCATGGGATGAACATTCCTGTTCACCAGCTGCTCAGCCTCCTTCAGCAGCTCGCCCGCCAAGACAACAACAGAAGTCGTCCCATCGCCAACCTCATCATCCTGAACTTTGGAAATGTCTGCAACAAGGCATGCAGCAGACAAATGACTACCAGCTACTGTAATAAGTAGCACCCGATCGGTAATGTGATGGAAAAACTTGGAATAGCACAAAAGAGCCAGCAAGCTGATAATCAAACAAATTGGTTCTTCTCAAAATAATTTGTCATTCTATCCTCTGCACTGTTTTCAACCTACAGCCGCTGAATTTACACTAGCACCGGGTTGCAAATATATCCATGCAGTGTGATGATAACTGTTGTGAACTGTACCAGTGGAAAAGGCAAAAAACTTATAGGGGCATAGTGCTGAAACAAGATCTGCTTGCAAGCAAGCTGCACAGCAAGAGAAGCCTAATTTCAAAGCAGATTCTGATGTAACACCAATTACTACTGCAATTTCACGTTACAAAAGCAATGTGCTGCACATATATACAGGTCCATGACTTGCACGACCATATCCGTCACCAAAACCATGCAGTCCTCCAAGGATGTCAAAAATAAATGCGCAGCTGGTCTTGTGCATCTTGCAGCCATTGTCTTACCCACTAGAACTTTGGCAGCTGGGTTATCAATGTAGAGAGATTTCAGAATTGTGGCACCATCATTTGTGACAGTGACGTCCTCCCCTCGCCCGACACTCTGAAGGATTTTGTCCTGTGAATGCCAGCCACCCAGGACAACCGACGTCAGGATAGTACCACCAGCACCATCCTGGCAGACACAATCAGCATCTCCCAGTGCAGTGGTAAAAGATTGATGGTGCAATGTTTCAAATGCAATCAGTCAAAGTGATAACAACAGAGGTCACTGCTTCTGCACCACCAACGAAGAGAAAACCTAACACGCATTTGGAACAATGTGTGTCTGCAGATGTGGCAAGCTCGCAGTGCACCAGCTCACCATGCCCTTGGGTCCAAGCGTCGTCTTCAACATATCAGAAATTGCGAGAGCTCCAACAAAGGATGCCTGCAATTCATGTACCACAGCACTGGTGTAAAGTTAAGTGCTTGGATGCCAAGAAAAGAAAACTGCAGCTAAGCCGAAACTGGCTTTCGCAATTAAACAGTTTGCATCTGCCAAGATTTCAATCCCTCGTCCAAGGGGCAAGCTAAGCCAGTAACGAAGCAGCCAGGGGTCAGAACAAATGGCTGTGCAGTGCAGCACATGGGAAGTCCCCTGTGATATCCGTCCACAGTAAGCATGAAGCACAAACATCAGCGATCCTCAAGTCGGTGGAAAAGTCGTAACGGCGATCGCACCAGCCTTGCAGTTTCTCCCTTCTCCTCTGTCGCGCCATCCTGAAGGATCTGTGGGGCAACGCCTCCGCCAGCAGCCTGCACAAAATGGTACCGTTTGAGGGGCAGACAGCAGCCACAGGCATCAACTCGAATCAGACGATGCTTCCGATGCGCGGCAAGGGCACAGACGTAACATCAACCAAAAATTCGGCGGCAAGCACAGTAGTGAAAATGCCGCAGGCATCGATCTTGAACGGGACAGCTTGCGCATCCCTCGTTTTCCATGCCAGTTTGATTCCGTGCCCATACGCCTCAGGCTTTCACAAGAGCTCTGAAACACGGTCGCAGATTTCGCGTGGGCACATGGCAGTCTGGAAGCCCGTTCGCCAGATGGAAACTGGACGAGCGGATCAAACGCTGCTGCGTTCGTACCAGAGCCATCGCCGATGTCTGTCCACCCCGTCAGGGGCAAGTTTCCGGGTGTCGCGCCTGTGGTGTCGGCAGCACCGCGTCTTCACGGCCGCAGGGAAGTCCACTGGTCACCTCCGCCGGCGCGCGGCTGGTTGTCGCAAAGGCACGTTGCTCGATGCTGGCGGGCGACCTCCGGTGCGAAGCGGTGCAATGTACCAGTATGATGACTGTGCCTTCAATTAGTGCGTCATCGTCGGTCGCCGTTTGCCGCCGGCATCCGCATTGACGCCGATGCCACCAGCAGAATACCGTAGTCCTTTTCGTGTGAATCCCTTCTTCTTTCGCTGGCATGGCCAACGCAGGTCAGTGGGTCAGTGGTTTAGGGTGTGCGGAAACAAGGTGGATCCACACGAAGGGCAGGGCGACTAATATCATGCCTGCTAGCAGACTGTGAGCGACGTCGTGGCAGGCACTGCCATTGTCGCCACCGTTGTTTCAATTTTTATTATTCCCAAATATTGCATCATATTTAAGCGGTAAAACCTTTACTTTGGCACATTGCCAACCAACGGCAACCTGCTGGTCATCCACACTAGTTCCTCAGTAGCCAAAAGCGATGCAGGCCAACTTAAGCCAGAACCCTGCTTTGTCCCTTCTTGTTGGCAATGTATTTTTCTCGCTGTCCATGTTCCCCAAGCAAAGGATTGAGTAGCATACCATACATGACAATCTTGTAAAGCAAATTTGGGATGCAAGCAGAGACACTCTGTGTCACGGACAAAGTGCAAAAAGTCTGGACTCCTCGTAATTCACTGCATCATCTGGAGTCTTAAGAGGCCAATTGCAGCTGTGGATCACCTGGCGATCGTTTCATTATATCCATGCACTCGTCAAGGACATTTCTGACGGGCGTTCGCCTGAAAGTAGGACATAGGTGATAAATAATCCTGTTGTCTATAGTTTCAACGACACACTATCCCGTTCAATGACAGCGCCCTGATTCAGCGTGCTTAAGGAATGGAAGAAACTGGCTTCCAATCCAAAGCATGCAATTGATCCACACAGCAGTGAGAAAGATGCCCCTGAATCACACACATGCACCATTCCCCTTTCGCCCATACCACTGCATGCTGTGCGCAATTTGCTCGCAGCTGCAGTCTGCATTAGTTGTGGAGGCGTCTCAGCACCCTGCCCCTGTCCATTTATGCCACTCAGCTACAGCCACGTCAAGCAAGTCATCCACCACTTATCAATGATTAGCCCTCTAAAAGGACTTGCCGTGAAGACAGGGACGTTTACAACACATATGACAGAGAATTAAACAAAGCTGAATGTTCGCCAGTGCAACCTTTCTACCCATCGCTATTGGAATCCTAGTGGGAAGCTTGTTTCACCCTGCCGCGGCATGTCAAGAACATTTCCAGTCATCGCCGTTTGAGAGCCAACAGATGGTTCTGCACCTTCTTCTGAATCCTCTGTCAAAGCACCATCTACAATCAATCCCTCAGTTCCTTGATCCACTGACAGCACTCTATCCATGGAGGGCTGCAACTCAAGTACTGCCTTGGGCTCTGCAAGCCGTGCGCCACTAGCTTTGACACAGTCCAGAAATCCCAGCCACAAGTTTTGCCTTATTCCCATGAATGCGTCGCGGTTTGCAGCCTCTAAATAAAATGATATGTATATCCCAATTTCTTCACGTGACAACTTGTTCAAGAACACCCTCCGGTGGAGTTTCTGGATAATTCTTGGATCCTGCCTGATGATTCGTCTCATGTCAGACACAATTCCCTCAACCTTGTCTATGTCTTGCACACGAATAGTAACATGCTCAAAAAAACGCCACTCCCGTCGCTTTCGGGTGACGTTCAGAACCACTGTCTTTGAGAAAACCGAATTCGGTATAACAAAAATCTGTTGGGGAAGGCACAACAATGTCATCAGGCAAATGCTCACAGCTTGGTGCTTGGGCTGGCCATGATGGGCATGCAACACGATGCAATGTCCATTCAACAGTGCAACTGCAGCGTGAGCAATACCACACACCTGACAATGATCGTCACAGTACAAGCATCAAAGGGTGGTGCAAACAGCATTCCCATCCAGGTAAATGTTTCTGAGATTCTGATTGCAGCAGATAATGGCGGTTTGCACATTTCTGAGTGCCCTTTAAATTTAGGCACAGGAATCCCGAATAGGACAACAAGAGTTACTGAATTGGCCTCAACCACTGGAGAGCAATGACTCAACAATGCGATGTGATTGCGCTACTTCCAAAATGCCCCAAGGCATGCAGTGCATGTGTATGGGTGTTCAATAAAAAATGGGCAATATCAATTATCTCTTCCTGATCAACTATTCCTGTGGCCCTACCATTGAGGACTCATACATGGGCTAACGAACGTACTAGCAGTTTAAGCCAAAGAAGGCACACAGAGATGCTCATCATTCGCTATTGCATTTAGGTATTATTCGCCAGTGTCAACCAATCCGATCAGACGAAGTTCTCAACGCTCCCTGCATCGCCGAGAGCTGATTGAATTGTATATCATAGAATCATACCATTCAATCCAGAAATGTAACACAGTTGCCATCCAAGACTTCAGTGGCGCACCTCTCTTTCAAAGCTGCGGATCAGCGTGTGGTACCAGCCAATGTCAAGCACTATCCCCTCTATGCGCTGACCACTGCTTGGCTGAAACACCACCTCATCACCCACTTCAAAAGGGGAGGACGACAGGATGACCAATCCATTGAAAATATTTTCAGCGATCTCACGACCTGCCAAACCGATCGCCAAACCACCAACTCCTCCAATGGCAAGTACAGAGTTGATGTCAAGTCCAATGGCATTCAGGGCCAACACACTTGTAACAATTACTGTTAGCACTGACAGCAGCTTATCCACTGCATCCACGCGCCTGCAGAGCACAGGAATGTGAGGGTGAGTGCTGGCCAAGTGGCACTGATACCACCATTGCCACTCACAAGACCAGCTGCCATGCTCTGAGGCAAGCGTGCCGGCACTCGAGCAATCTGCTGGTAGGGAGGATCCATGCCCAGTCAACTTGCCTCGCACAACAACTGAATGACACGCTTCCCCTGCACCAACCTTGCATTTGCATGCAGATCCATGAAGCACACCACTGCAACAAGTGATATACACTAGGTGCTCCAGCTCCACGTGTGCAAATGGTGCATTTTCGATCTGCACAAGTTTAACTGGCAGTCTGTTCATAACAGCAGAAAGCCCCTAAATTCCAAGCCATGGTTTTTGCGTTTGACACTGCTGCAATAGACCGATGCTGACTGAGGACCAGGCCAGCGTACATGCATCAAACGTTAGCACATTGTCTCTCTGCGAAATTCATAATTGCTAACAGCCAGTGAGGCTACAAATTCTTGGCTGTCGCCAATGGAATAAACCAAACACGAGTCCCAAGCCTGCAGCACATGCGGAAAGAAGATGTTTTGCTATCCCTGACAAAAGCCAACAGAGACCACTGGGATCTGCTATCAAACACTGGTGATGCCTCTGGAAACATGGTACCAAAGGCCATTCTCTTGCTTCTTCCTTAACCTTGCCCGCACTGTTTCTATTGCATCGTTCAGTGTTGCTTTCTTGTCCATTCCCCTTTTATGTCCTCCTTGCTATAGAAGACAACTGGGAGTGCCAGGTGATTGCAGACCAACACCAATACCTTTGGCTCACAGGATCACCCTTCAGCTCGAGCTTCCATTTGGCTTCTTGAAAGATGCGCCCCTTCACGCTGAATGTGACCCGCGCAGCCGACAGCACAAACACCATTGACAGGATTGTGCGCACCACCACCGCTATTGTGTTTTTGTTGACGGATAGGAGAGGCGGCAGGATGTTCTCTGCCAAGGTGGAGCAGGCCGCCACCGCCAGCAGCAGCTCCAACGGCTTATACACCTCCCGAAGAAAGTAAAACTCATTCGAGGTCTCCCAGGGCCCTCGAGAGTCGAAGAAGCCCCTCACCGCCCGCACCAGCGGCGTCAGGCCGAACCTAACAAATATCATCGCTGTGACGATGGCCAGAGTCTGCCGAAAGGGCACCGACTTCAGCAGCCTCTTGCACACTTTGTACACCGCCTTCTTGAACCCAATGTCGGCGGTCAGAAACAGTACAACCGCCGTGAAGATGCCCCCCACGCTCAGCACTACGCTGAACAGGGCCAGATAGAATCCCAGGCTGCTGCCCTGTTCCTCTACAACGGCGCCAGGGGCAGTATCCAGCTGCGCCAACCCCGCGCCCGTCCCTCCCTGATCCTTCCCATCGCTCTCTGGCGCCTGCCCGCCGTCCGGAGCCCATTGACCATCGGGGTGTTCGCTGCTGTTTCGCGACAGGACCAGCGTCGATCGCCGCGACGGCAATCTGCCAAGGGGAAAGGGCGCCCTGGGCACCGCCGATCGCCACTGTCCTCCCCAGCGCGGACAACCCGGCTGTCGGCACTGCCCGCCGCACCCAATGGTGATGTTTCTACAGGGCCGCTGATGGCGCCACATTGGACTGGCTAGGCGACGGGGCCCGGGCAAGACGGCGGGAGCATGGGGCGCGGTGGCGACTGCACGCATGCCGTGGAGCCTTCGGAGAGACGATCAGCCCGCCGGAACCGGCAGCGCACAGCATGCTGGGCCAGGACGGAAAAGAACAGGACCCTGGTCGCCCCTGCCAACTTCGTGGCAGGCACAAGCTGCAATACGCACTGGAGAAACGTGGCATAAGGCAAGACACTATTTTGATTTTGCAACGCTCAACGTCGAATTGACGTTAAGCTCAGGGGACCCCTTCCCCCCCCCCCCGCCCCCCCCTCAGCGTCAATCCTTATTTCGATGCCAGGATGACTCAGCAACATTACCTAACAATGCCATTCAACTTCAAAATAGTTTCAAGGGAAAAAACAGCCAAAATTGTAGATTGCGGTGATTTGAAAAATGGTATGCCAAATGTGATGATGCGCGATGAGAGCAGCCCAAAAGCCTAAAAATTGATCCATTCTAAGGTCTCCCTGGATGATTGAAAATTTGAGGGAGGTTCACCAACAAGTTATGAGCCAATTGCCGCTGATCAGCGGCGTTTTTGTCCATCTTCCCACTTTGTTTTGATTTTAGTGCAATTATGTAATCTCTTAGTGTCAATGGGTTGCCTCCCCCCCCTTTAACGCGAACTTGATGCTAAGCGTACAAAAATGAAAATAGTGTCTTTGTCAAAATTCCTTGGCCATCTCGGTTCGAAAGCCCGCTCGCCGCAATCGCCGCAAACGAATGCACGCAGCGATGGGCCACAACGCAGCACAATTCAAGCCTCTTTGCTTCGACTTCCCTGGCAACTTTGGTACACGCGATGTTCAAACGCACTCGCCGTGCTTGGTCCCACAAGCAGCCAAGACTGAACTTGTCTTACAGCCAAACCAAGAGAAGCCACGAACAAGTCTCGGGTTCGCTTTAAATACCAGAATATGCCTCCTTTTTAGCCCTCCATAACTCACACTCAGAACGGCGAACTGAACTCACAACTCACACACACAACACACGCTATCACACAGCACCGACCCACAGCATCAACCCATGGCACCGACCCACAGCTCCAATTCACAGCACCAACTCACGACCACCAGAACTAGTAAAATTGAAGCTGATTGTTGGCCAGCCGTTCTCTCGCCATCTCAGTCAGTTCGATGAGTGCACCAGGCAGCAAGCACATGACCAGCTGCGTGCCCAACAGGGCAGCTGCAGCGATCCCAGTGTGTCAGACCTTGGTCTCTTCAATCTGACCTCCAATTCTGTAATCACTTTTCTCATTGAGTTTGATTGCACATCGGTGTTCAGCCACCTACCTCCAGTTACACAGCCTGGAAAGTTGCAAGTGAAATACCGAGAAACAGTGACAATCATACAATTATAGTGTTGATGGCAGTCCCTGAATGAGATTCTCAGATTCCATAATTTAATTTCAGTCATCGGATTGCGATTCAGTAATTGACGGAGCCATCTTAGTGGTCAATTACCAGTAATTCGAACAATCTTCCCTAATTACCCTAGAAAGAGGAGGAGTTGCTTGTATGCTGACGATGCAGCTTGCACCGTATCTGACGCTGCGCTTGCCTACATGAACACGCCGATACAACGCCTCACACACTAGCGCCCAATCCGCGGTCTGCTGCGAGGCCCTTGTGCCGTGCCAAGTCCAAATCAAAGATGGCAAGGCTGCCACCAAGAGATCAGGACATCCCACCCGCCCCTGGCGCACGCCGCTGCCATGCGGCCGCAGATAACTATATTAATTTACCAAGTTTTTTCAAGTCCGACTGCAGTTATGTTGCCATTTCGCTTCAAGCTATTCTGTGAGTCTGTATATCAGATTCCGGTGAATATTGCGCACGCAGCTCCTTGCGCTTCTGGATATTAACCTGTTTACTCGATTCCATTATTGATTCAAAGTGCTTTCCCCCCGCCCTTGTCAATTCTTGACTGCCCCATGGTGTGCTTCCACCCATTCAGCCACCATGTCTGTCATGTGCAACTCATCGAGTGAAGCAACAAGATGACTTACAGCGGATTTACCAGCCCCTTGGTTTATTGGCTAGGCATTTGGATTTCATAATCGTGGCCCAAATTTTCGTCGAAATTTCACTAAAACCGAAGTTTCTGATGGGCAAGCACTGCGCCGAGGTCGGAGAGGACGACCAGTTTGAGAGGAACTACATATTCTCATGCGACGGTGGCTCGCCCAGGCCATCCTATGCGATGCACGACATATCAAATAGATCCATCTCCCGACCGTATCACAAGTGCTCCACCCAATCAACTGGTCGTCATTACGATTCACCAGTCATGTAGTTGTCAAGAGACCAAGGAACCGTATATTCTGGCCGTCGAACACTTCGCTGTTGTCAACTGCTCTCTCGAGTCTGCTCTCCTTTCATAGTGTCCCCCATTTGTCTTGTGGATCGCCGAATTCTGTAAGGATTCACATTCATATCAGCTGGCGATATCCAACCATGCTTCACGTCGGGATAAAAATCAGCGCCGGGGGTTGCTGGACAGAACCGCGTTCTGGTGTGCGAGTGGGGCGGAAGCCGCAATGGGTCGCTACTGGGAGGCTTGGCAGCAGGGAACCATGGACGCACGCACTCCCATCTGGACGAGTCAATAGCTTGCAGTGGGGTGCTGACCCTGACGACCAGCCATCCCATCCCTCGCAGCGTAATTCCCCGCTCAAGGTCGTTGCGCCCACCATGCGGTCATGGCGGCAACGAATGCTCATCGCCAGTGACGGGCTAATGGCTGGGTATTCGAAACACGATGTTCCACGCTTGGGAGACGCATCAAGGTGAATCAAGGTGCTGCACACAAGCAGCGCCCAGCGTGCTTCCCGCTACACGCAGGGAATTGAGAGCAGGAGCCACTCACTGACTGGCGGCAGAGGGACAAGCCGATCGTTAGAATTTGCATGGAAACAAAACACCTGCCAATTGCTCCTCATACAAGCTCATATCGTCAGGCTCTGATCTGCTACGTCAGTTGAGTCAAATAAATTGCGAGCTAACGCTAGGTGAATTGTCCTCTTGCAACTGTGCGCGCAATGCCAGCATGTCGACCTGTCCATCAGGTTTGCCCTCGGCTGGGGAGGGCGCGTTCCGTTTCAAGAGCCGTCTCCTAAGGCTGCGTCATCGGACTAACGATCCACTTTGGGTTTGCCAAAATCGTCCGAGCTGAAGGGGTTCTCCAACACGCAGGACGTCTCTTCCGGCTCCTCGTAGTTGGCTGCGGCATCCTTGTCAAATTCCATAACGTCGCCCTCAACAATAGACAGCTTGTCAAAGTTCTCCCTGAAGATTGGAATCACCTGTAAAACATGCACACCAGCAATCATCGCGCTCCTCCAAGGCACACACGCCCAAGGGGACAATTCCCCGCAATGTGCCTCTATCAGTATACCATGCCTTAACAGTTGCTTAACTCCACAGGTAGCCACACGTCGATCATATCTAACCGCGTCCGCAAGAGCCACACATTATTTCTGTTCAAGGGCCCACAATTCCAGCAAGTGGTAATCACCCAGGGCGCTTCATAATCCTAGCGAAGCTAGGAAAAATGTTGTTAAACTTCTGGGAAATCCTCAACCAGGTCGCAACTTGTGCTTGACAACTGCCAACAGCCGATCCAGCAGCACTCTTCTCGTGGTTTCCGAGCCCCTCATCATGTTGGACTGGCCTTGCAAATATGTGCACCATATCATTGTGCAAATGCACAAAGGGGACCGATCGGAATTGCACATGCATAGAATCATGTAGACACCACCCTGTGTATTTTGCTGGGACCACTCGCCCAAAAGAGTGTTTCATTGCGATGGGACATCTGGGGGTCACTCCTATACATGATGGTTTCAGCAAATGCAGTTTGAACCTGTTGGAGCACATGATACTTCTTGGGATACAAAAGTGCTGCAGCAAGGCACAGACCCATCTTCCAGCAAGACAACCGAGTCAACAGCAAAGCCATCGCAAGAGCCTGTTCAGTTCGTTTGCTGAGTAGCCCCACTGCTGAGTGGGCCAGGGCTGCTAATCGATTTTGGGATGCTGGCTACAAGACCTTGATTGTCAGGACAAAATGCTCTGTAGTGCCATCCAAGCTAAGCGAGCAGCGTCTTGGCAACATCGACAGGGAAACTTGCTCAGCTGGTCTTCATGCCTACCTCCTCAGCGCTCTCCTCATCTGCCACCTCGCTGAGGCTGAAGGCTGCAGCAATCGCTGCTGCACCCTCTGGGTCGACATCAGCGATGATGGGATATATAGCCTGATAATAGGCATATCCCTCCGCCTGCAGGCCAATCAAACTTTTTTGCATACGTCTGTAAATGGACATCGCGTAGAGGCAATGTGGCACAGCAGGAACACTGGAGCATTTGCACTGAACAAGGGGTGAACCACTTGTGCAAATGGAGCACTGGTACAGGGCCACACAGACACAAGGATGTACAAACATAGCAGCAGTCGCTGGCAGACAACCCACCAGTGACTTCTCCACGTCTGCCTCAGCCTCCAAGCCATCAACCACCAGAGTCGCGTATTTGAAACTGGACTGAATGTAGATGATTGTGACCTGCTTCACGACTTCAGTCCGGGTGTCCTGGACAATCTCGAATGCACCTGACGTGTCCTCTGCAGACAGGGCCTCCCCAGCTGCAACAAATTCCAACCCAATCTTCAGCCAGCCGCAGTAGCTGGAGGCAAATTTGCCATACGAGACAGGAATTGCCACATCATCCCATTTGGCAATGCAAGCAACTACTGAGACTACAGCACACGGCCCATGACCCTGGCTACCCTTGGACAGCAAAATCCCATGTATTGTTCCTACTGACCTTCTTTGATTGCAGTATGGACTTTTGTATTTGTGGTGCTGACCCCGTCGGCAACAGTGCCAAACTCAATACCCCTGGCCTGACCATTCCCGAAGGGACTGCATTGGATGTCTCCTCCATAGTACACAGCCAAGGCCTTGTCCAAACTGTTGAGAGCACCCTCCGCATTGTTTGCTGTGATCTTTGCCAGAGCTGAGTCGATATGGAAGAAGAACTGTTGGACAAGTACCGACGCCTGCAGGAGCTTATTGACAACCTGTGTTCCACACAGCAAACAATGATGCTAGAGTTACCAGAAGATTATCCTTGGAACCACTCACAACCTGGTCAATGTGTGACAAACATGTATGAGTGCGTTTTGGCCAACGAGACTTGCAATATGGTGATGAAGCCTTTCTTAGGAAAGGTGTTATTGTGTTATGCACAACCACCTCTTGACACACACAGGCCTCTCTTGTCTCTCTATGATACAGTAGATCACCGAGGAAAATGTTCCACATCAGGGCTGACATCAGCAGTGCAGAGGGCGCTATCGTGCGTCCCCTGCGCTATCTTCTGTCCCCCCCAGGTTCTGCATCAGGTCGCTGACTCAATAGCGCCCCCCCGCATTATCACGCTGGCCCTCGTACCAGCAACAAAGCATGCCAGTGCCCCACCAGCTTAGCGCATTACATCAGGTGCCATTCACGGCAGCAACCCAAACTGGCACCAAAGAGAAGGGACATCACAGGTCGCTGCATTATGCCACGCCACCCGCGTTGCCAGATTGATTGGCGAAGCGGACCAGCGCCTGGCCAATGTAGCATAACAGTTATTTGGATGTCGCACTGCACTAGAGACAGCCTGAAAATCCCGATGACGTTGGTTTGGGTGATGGTAGTATGGAGCTAGACACTGAGAATGTTGAGGACGTGGTGTTTGATTGAAGTAGGAATGTCACAGCAATATTCAATTAGAGTGAACTTGATAACATTGGGGTGCCAGCATATGCAATGCGATGTAAGAATGTGTTAAAATGCTTTTGCATTGTGGTTGTGCATGATGTTTTTCGAAGTGCGAATAGCGCCCCCCCCCAAGGGTGTCTTGCGTTCCCCCCGCGCTCCACCACAGCGGCCATGTTTGATAACGTTGGGGGCGTCATCTAAAGGCCCCTGCACTGTTCAACACCCCCCGCGCTATCCTCCACGATATACGGTACTTTTCCAACTGCTGAATGTGGACACAGTGTGAGCCAAAGCCCTGAAGTGGGTGCTCCTCATGCTGTAGTGTCTTGCCTCACCTGAACCCGCTTGACATCTGTATCGAAGTCTCCTTCTCCGCTCAGCGCCTGGTCGATCTTTGTGTGCATCCAAACCTGGTCACCAAAGAACACTGCATACTTCTGGTACATGTCTGTGGGGTACTCAGCAGTTGCCACCTCCATCAGAGTCAACGACTGGGAGTTCTTCCCCATCTCATAAATCTCCCGAGCTGCATCGAAGTCGGGGCTGTCCAGGGCATCCTTGATGGCACAGACGTCCAACGCGAGCTTGTACTCCTCGCCAACATTGTTGCCGTCGACCTCGTAGCAGTCATCCTGGGCAAGGGCCAGGGAGCAGAGGAGGCTTGCAAGGAAAATGAGCACGTGTGTGCGAGCCATGCCCACGAGTCACCTAGCAGCAGTGGACAAATCTAGAGCTGAGACAATAGCACAATCCAAGGTCCCCTCAGCGGCGAAACTTCTCGCCACTTCCGCTTTCTCACTGACCTGTCTGATGAGTCTCTGAGCCACAAATGGAAAGTTTACCCTGTTTCCAATACTGAATCGCTGATCACAGGTGAGTTCACGAAGTGATGCAATGGTGTTCCCATGATTTGATGCGCACCAGTTCGCGCGCGTTTGCACTCACAATTTTGATATTGGCGCCCAATTGCACACCACACTTTGAAACGTGCTGCCAAAATGGCGCACCACGGTGCAACTCACAAAACAGCAGGCAAATGGGGACCCTGTCCATTTAGCGTCGCGGCGTTTTACGTGTGTTGCCGCCCTGAAGAAAGAACCTTCCTCGAAAGTCACAAGGGCCAAAATTCCCCCATTCAGCATGCGAAAGCACCGGCGTACTAGAGGTGCCCTTGCACAAATCCTGTCCGAATCAGCGCCAGTACTGCAGGGAACGCTTTGCCATGCGCACAGAGCATTCAGACACACAAAACACCCTCAGCTGAGCAGTGCTTCCGGCTGCGCCTTTCTGACCACGAACTCGTCAGCATCGCCATTCAGCCGGGCACAGGGGCTGCAGGCGCGGTGCGATCACCGACGCTGCACGCCAGCGCAAATTGCGAAGGCTTTCTCCGCGGCACGGCGTCAAGAGCAACGCACTCGCGTTCGCTTCACCAAGGAGGCTAAATAGCGCACGCCTACCGACAGGCACCGGGCGGCGCCCAGCAGCGCACCTGCAAGTCGGCGACTGCGGCGAGGGTGACTGCAACACGCGATCCGTCTGCGGAGGCGCTTGTTGCGCATCCTGTCGGCATAAGTACACCGGCGCATGGCCCCGGATTGCGTGACGCGCGTGGCGCCCACCCGCGCTGCGCACACGCCACCGCTGTGCGCGTGTTGGGCGTGTGCTCAGCAGCGCAGATCCAAGGGCGTTCAATATTCAGCAATGGCGGCTTGACGTGGCCTGTAGTGCAAGGGCCCATTGGGGCAGAATGGTCGCTCCCAGTCAGCGACCACGCCCTGTGGGGCAGGTCATGCACATTCATGGGATTAACTATCTTGTTAAGTGGTTTCCGCCCAGGGCGACGAGGGGCGGGCGCGCTGACCCACTTGGGACAGCGCTACTTAAAGTACAATGGTTTTGGCGGCCCCTTGGGGTTTCTGTCCCCCTGTACCTTGGGTCAGTGGCTGGTTCGTCGCGTTCAAGGAGGGCCAGTGGTTTTTGGCGCCCTTGGGAGCGGCGGGCTTTGGCGGGCGCGAGCGGGGAGGCTACTTAGGCTCACCCCTCGGTCCCCACCTTATCTTGTTTCGCTTCGCGCCAAACCTTTGGCACAACCCGGACCCACAGAGTGGGTCGCAACCTCCGGCTCTTTGCCGAGTTCTTGCCTATGAACCCGTCCCCTGCGGAGCAGTGGTGCCGGGACCAAGCTCGCCGGTTCAACAACCGTATTCCGACCTCCGCTATCAAAGCCTGCTGGTTGCCCGACCCGGCGCTCCTCCCTCAGTCAGTCAACAACCCGGTCGCCCGACCAGTGGGCGCCCGCTCCCCGTACTAGTTTGACGTCCACGACACCGCCGAAGGGAGTGCGGTCGCTAATGCCTTGGGCACGAACTCCGGGTACTTCCCGGAGTACGCAGGCTGGGCGCCTCCGGTCTCCTGGCTGTTCAACACGACCGCGGCCTTCGTGGAGGTGGCCGCCCATCCAGATCTACCGGCGTCCGTACGGGAATTCCTCCTCCCCTACCTTTACTCATACGTGGAGGTCACCGAGGCTCTCCACGACCAGCTCTCCTTGCAGCGCATCCACGCCAAGCACAAGGGCTCGGGCCTGGAAGGATCGTGGCGGGCCATTCAGGCGGAGATCCGCCTCGCCGACTGCGGACTGCGCTTCGGCACCGCTCGCATCGACGGGACCATCGAGCGCATGTGCTAGGAGCTTCTGACGCAAGAATTGAAGCACGCCACCAAGACCGCGGCCGCCAAGAAGTCTACCTCCCCCCCGTCGACCTCGGCCCCCTCGACCGGCCCCAAGGCCCACAAGGGATCTCGCCCTCCGGGCCCCTCCCCCAAGCCGGCCCAGTGAAGGACTTCCCGTACAATCGAGTCCGCGGACGCCTTTCGGCGTGGCGTCGCATCGGCGCCCCCTCCCGCATCCTCCAATGGATCCATTCAGGGACTCCGCTCATGTGGGGCCCGCGTGGACCGCCGGCGGCTTTCGACGAGGGCTCCTACCCGCTTCGCTCCCCGGAGGAACGGACGGCCTGGCAATCTCTCCGCACGGACTATCTCTCTTCGGGCGCGATCACCAAGGTGGAGCCGGGCCCCACGTCGCGCATCTCTCGGGCCTTCCTCGTGGAGAAAGGGCGGGAGGATGGCGTCATGAAGTACCGACTTTGTATCGATCTGCGACGGGTCAACCGTCACCTTCGCAAGGTGGGCCTTCATTACGAGAAATTACGTGACTTCGGTCACTTACTCCGCCGGGGTGACTCATTGGTGGGATTTGACATAAAAGATGCTTATCATCATCTGCGTGTGTGTCACTCGGAGGAATGTTTCCTCCAATTTCGAATGGGAGACGAAGTTTTCGCTTGTAGAGCTCTCCCTTTTGGCCTCTCTTTGGCCCCTTTCTTTTTCACCCACTTCATGCTTGTTGTGGGGCGTTTCTTAAGGTCCCCTAGCAGTTGCCCTAAGGCGGCTCGCCATTTCCGCTTTGGCTGCTTAGCGGGGGATGACTCAATAGCTACATACTTTCGCGTGTATACTAGTGAACCGCCAGCCATTCTGTTGGCGTATCTTGATGATTTTTTGGCGGCCATGTATGATGCCGCTCGTTTGACAAAGTGGTCCAAGTTGGTTCGGGGTGTGTTTGCCTCACTGGGCATCCAATTCAAGGAGCGGAAATGTCAATGGACCCCCCGTTACACGCAAGAAGCATTTGGGGGTGATTGTGGACACGGCCTATGGCCGTTTTGAGGTTCCCCCGGAAAAGGCCGCGTTGATCGCCAATCAGGCTCGCATTTTGCGATCCGCCCGCCGGGTTGTGGCCAGGGATTTGGCTCGTTTCTGCGGCCTCGCCATTTCCCTTTATTTGGCGTTTCCTTTGGCCCGGTTTTTCTTGCAAAGTCTCTATGCGGTTCTTCGTTCCAAGCGGAGCTGGCGGGATCGCCTGATCCTCTCCCCCCAAGCCCGGCTGGACTTGGAGGCGTGGGTCAACATCCGCCGCTGCGAAGGCCGTCCACTCAACCCCGACGCGATCCCCTTTGCCGGCACTCTGGCAACGGACGCCAGTCTAACCGGTTGGGGGGCCACCTTCGCTCCTCCGGGGAGGTCCCGCCCCCTCCTCGCCAGGGGGTTTTGGGACCGTTCCTTAACACACATCAATGTGCGTGAGATGCA